TTGTTATATCATATCGTCAAATTTGATCTGAGGACTATATTCACCAAATCATCCGTATAGTGTCTAATTTTACCATCATTGCATATAATATGATTGAGTTTAGATTTAGATTTCGCTTTTGATTTAGAGCAGCTGTTCATACCTCTTACTATATACGAGAGCAGTTGCTCACATAAGTCATTTGTCTCGATTCCTTGAGTATTTTTAAATCTTCTCACTTGCCTAGATTTCGCCGTATTTTTTATTTAATTTGACAAAATTTTACTATCTATTATGTTGAACTTATTTCTTTTAATCATTCTCAATTTTATCATTTCTGATGCCTAGGATATTCTCATGGGTTTTAGTTTATTGTGTCGAATCTATTATAAATTTGTTTAATTAAGCCAAAATATTCGGTTTTGAACTGATTTAAATGATTGGTAAATTTTGATGCTTTTAATGGTCAATTCTTATTAATTGTAATCGATAAGCACTTCATCTTCTAGATATTTTCTTCAACCAAAGTTTCGATGCATATCCATTTACGTTTTTATGCTAGGTTCGGAATTCTGGTCTGCATCTTGTATTTCTTAAATGCTTATTTCTGCCTTTGCGATTAGCAATCTGAAAATCGGGAAGTGCTTAAATAGTGTTCTAAAACAGTAATGAAAATCGTTCCGTTATTCCAAATTGGAGCGGAATATGATTTCATACAAAAAAGCCTTTTACAGAATATTCATTAAGCTTAAAGCAACAAAAAACCGTTAAGGAATAGTTGAATAGTTTTTCCCATTTCTTTTCCTTTACTTCAGTTTATTTTTTCATACGATAAAGTTGCATGGAATAAACGGTATGGCACTCAAACTTGCAACTTTTGTTCAGCATATCGACTTATTAGGTGTTTATTATATTTTTCCCATAATAATAACTTTTAATAATAGTTTAAGGATGGTTTAGATTTTTTCAAAATGCAATTCTAAATATTGGCTTCTTGATACATTTGAAGAACTCGCTTCTTTTCTTCTTTTAGGTGAATTTGTATTGGTATTTACTTTAATATACTATTGATGTTTCAACACATTTTTAAAAAATGTAGGATTGTTGTAATTTGAGTTTCATTTACTTGAAAACATTAGCATGGCTGACAAAAATTTATAAAAAACTTTTATTTCCAAATATACACATTTAAATATATATTAACATTTATGGCAAGTAAAAATGAAATTGGTGGAATTTTCAATAAAATATTTACTTTAGGACAATTTTACACTAGTCGCCTTGACGAGGATTTTTGGAGATTGCTGAATTTTTGCTACGAAAGGGATACAGCACAAAAACTAAAGACTCAGCAAAACACTAGTTGATGTTGCTGAAAAGGGTTTTTTTAAAAAGCTGTTGCTAGAAGGTAATCAGTGGGTGTTTATAACAGTGGGTATTTATAATTTTTTATTTAAATTTTTATTTTTTTGCGGTTTTGTAAAAATTTTTAATGTCATGAGTACAATAAATGAATCAAACGAAAATTTCATAAAAACAAGCTAAGAAATTAAGAAAAAAAGAATCATAGTCAGTAGCCAAAATTCTGATGTCGCAGAACAATTTAAAATTATCATAGGCGCAAAAAAATTGAAAACTTGGATTATAGTACCTTTGGAAGCCTTACATTTGTATTTTTCGATGAGATTCAGTAAAAACTCTTTTAACTTCATGAAATAGAGGCAAAAGTTTTGGGCAAGCTTTGTGATATATTGGCTTAATGGATAGAATAGATCCGTGAGGGGTTCTAATTTTGGAACATCAATGCTGGGGTTCTATTTTCGGCAGGAAATTTGTCTCTCCCTGCCCGATGTTTATATTATGACTTCTATCGCTAAGTATCTCCCTGAAAAAATTTTTTTGTTCCAAAATACCAGCGGAACGAGCCTGATTATAAATGGTGAACTATATTCCACTGAGATAAAAAAGTGAATATGAATTCTCGAATCAAATATTTCCTTTCTCTTTTTCCTTTTATGTATTATATTTGCTTTTTCTTCCTTTCTTAATTTTCAAGTTCTCTGGTTTTCTTCATATTTATTCTTTTTTTTAAAGATAATTCATTACCGTTATTTCGCAAAAAAATTATTGAAAGTTTCATTTAGCATCGCTAGATGCAATTGCTGCGTATCGGTAGATTTTCTTCGACTTGTTTTTCATCAATCATTTTATTTCATATAGTTTTATCCCTATAATAGGCATTTTTTTTCATTATTGATGAATTGTTTACATTAAAATATCTGAGTTAATCGAATGATTTTATAATTTAATAATTTCATCCTTTTTTTTCATAATTTGCAGCTGGTATATTGAAAAGGTTTGAATGAAGTTTTCAAGCTTTTTTCAAGCTTTCTGCTCTTAACTTGACCCAAATTTGATCTAAAAAATCAGTGTGAAAATTTATAAAATAATGTGTATTACTTAATATGTGAGATATGCCACTGAAATAAATTAAGATTCAATGGATATTCAACAAAAAAAATTCGAGCTTTATTCATATGGTAGAAGAGATTCATTGAAGCAAACACGATTCCTTCTCGTTAGGATGAGGTTTTTTTTCCGATTTTAATCTCTCATCATTTGAAATTTAAAATACGGTTAAAGAAAGAAAAGAAAGAAAATTTTATTTGCTCATACCTTTATGAAAAAATAATTTCATGAAACGACATTGCTTAAGATATTTAAACCGCAAGATAATTGATTGTCGAGCTAAAATAAGGTGCTATTAGGTGCTCATCGTTTTTATAATTCACATGGAGCTAAACGAACTAGCAAAAGGATATCAGTAAAACTCAATATTCAATATCAAAAGTCCGAAAAAAAATATGAATCAAAGGAACTGGCAATATACTTTTCTAGTAAAATTGAAGGAATAATTCAATATGATAAGATTTTCTTACTTTGTTGTGAAACCCAAATATTCAACCTAATCGAACAAAGTGGGGAGTGTCATTTATTTGCGATCTATTGAAGAAATTAAATTAAAAGATTCATATTGAAGTAACAAGCTTTACCATTTTATACTCATAATTCTACCATTGCTCCTGGACAAGAGTAAAGAAAACCAAATGGTCTAAAACAACAAATAAGTCTTGTTCTATATACAAACATTGTTACACACAAATGAACACTATATATCAGTTGAAAATAAACTTACGAAGAAAACCAATTGTACTGTTTAAATACCCAATTATATTAAGGGCAATACCACAATAAATCTCCAGTAAATATTGTGAAATAATTGCTAGTGTTATTTGCACCATTTAAAACAGCGCACCAGCATATTTCTGCGCTGAATTCATTATTCTTGTCGCTTTTCCAAGTAAGCTCAATGCTCAATGCTCAATGCTCAAGACACAAGCAGGAAAATGTAACGACACATAACATCAGAGTATTCACTCGTCATCTTATGTGAACTGAAGGATTATATATTGAAAATGCTCCATGAAGTGCATACAGAGGCACTCATCCCACTTGTCCTTAAATTCATCAAAAGAATTCGGTTGCAGTGAAATTTCTCTTTTTCTATGTTGTAAACCAAACAACACTAAAACCCACGGAATTCTGATGAAAAAAAACGCATTAAACCACTGGAACAAATATTTGGATATATAAAAGCCAATATTGCATCATTACGAATATAAACTAAAAAGAGCAGTTACCAAACTCTTTGGAGGTATATCTCGAACAGCCAATTATCAGAATCAGGTAAATACATAACATCAAAATTATATTATGAGATCCACAAGTGGCCATTCACTCCTTCATTGCATGGAATTTATGCTATTCTGCTTGGAGTTTATACTTGGAATTTAATATCCTAATTATGCAACAGCTTAGTCATCAACAAGGAATTACAGAAAGCGGCTTCGGCCAAAATAACAATGTCGTTGATTCATTAGCGAGGCAAGTTAATTGCCGCCGAGAATTAAGAATGGTGGAGTTTCTGGCCGGCGCTCCACACTCCCCATCGGCTATCAATTCGTCGAACAGTAAAAGCAAAGGAAATATAATGGATAAGTGGATTGTTGTTCAGTTCGGAGCGTTGATGCTGAGGTTCCATGCCTGGCAGGACTA